GCTAAAGCCCTTATATAATACAAATAAGGTTGTCAAATATATTTCAAAATAAATTAGTCAGGAGATTTAATTTTTTTGGGGTGAATGGGTGGGTTTCAAGTATAATCGACAGCTAAAGTGGCTGTCGATTATACTTACAACCAACAGAGAATAACTGTCGATTATGTTTTGATTTTTTTTTAATCTTTTTTATAAGAGAATCAATAGAAAGAAACTAAAGGGAAAAAACCAAAAAATAAGAAAAAAAAAAAGGAAAGGAGAGAATTAGATAAATCAAACTAATCATTAGTTTAAAGAAATAATACATCAGTTTAAAGAAATAATACATCAGTTTAAATATAAAAATTTAAAATACAAAAAAAAAAAATCAAAACATAATCGACAGCCACTTTCTGTCGATTATAAGTATAATCGACAGTCAAAATGGCTATCGATTATGTTTTGAATTTTTTTAATCTTTTTTATAAGACAATCATTAAAAAAAAACTAAAGGAAAAAAAAGGAGAGAATTAGATAAATCAAATTGAGTATTAGTTTTAAAAAATAATACATCAGTTTAAATATAAAAATTAAAAATAGAAAAAAATAAAAAGATAAAAGATAAAAAAAAATCAAAACATAATTGATAGCCACTTTGGTTGTCGATTATACTTAATCGAATGTCATTTTTTATCGATTATAAGTATGATCCACAACCAAATGGTTGTTGATTAGGTTTTGATTTTTTTTTTTTTATCTTTCTTCTTTTTAATTTTTTAATTTTTAATTTTTATATTTAAATTGATATGTTATTTCTTTAAACTAATGGTTAGTTTGATTTATCTAATTCTTTCTTCTTCTTCTTTTTCTTATTTTTGGGTTTTTTCCCTTTATTTTTTTTTATTGATTCTCTTATAAAATTTTTGGTTTTAAAGTTAGTAAAAATCAATTTTTTTTGAGGTTATAATTAATTATTGAAATTATAGGTTTGATAAAAAGAATGACGTGCTATTTCTTTACAAAATATTGTATTGTATTTTTTTTTGTTTTACTATAAGATTATGTTAGATTTTTTTTATTAATATTATATATTTTGTTAATATAAATTCTAATTCTTTATAACTAAAACTAATTTAAATTA